CTGTAATCATTTACTTACAATTTTTGTCCTTCTGAACATAATGTGGGAATTTGGTATAGTGTTTGTTTTACTACGCAGCTAGCACCTTGATGTCAAAATGACATTAACATAAAATAAATGTCAAAAATGTACAGTCCCGCTTTTAATTAATTGGTTACAATGAAATTTGTAATTAGTTATAATGTATTTGTTGTGTAAAAACATGTTTTTACACTACTTATGATTGATTAAATTCTTGTGTGTATTTACATCTGTTATTAATTTCTATAATTACATTTATAATTACACTGTTGACCATAACCTACACCTTAACCCACCCTAAACCACCCAACCCAAACTCTACCCTTATCCCACTTCAAGAGCACCACAAGTGTTATATATTTATACAACGGTTCTGTCTGGTTCTTGAATCTGATTGGCTTAACACCAAAACTATACCAATGATAAGGTAGCATGCAACAATTAATAACGCAAGACATGCATATTAAAATGCATATTAAGAAAAGGCCATTCTTTATATCAAATAATACACACCTGTTGACCACTCAGCACCAGACTCCACTCACAATACCAAACATTGCTATCAAAACACTAAAGACTGCAACTCACCTCCAGCAACTATGTTTATCCTCCATCTCCACAGTCTCATCCTCACTAGATCTGCCTAAATTTGGGCTTTTTCTAGTTGTGTTGTGGTTGTGTTTAGTCTCCTTTGCCTCAAGACTTTCACTGACTTTCAAGCAGTCCCAGCAGCACCTCCTCCACTCTCAATAAATCCTCTTTAAATCCACTTGGAGAGTTGCCCGAACGTAAATATATTAAACAATTAGACAGATCCCCAAACAGCTTATCTGATATGTCTACCCTACCACACCACTTTCACACACACACACACATGTACCACACATGTTGTGCTTTCCAGTTTGATACAGAATCTCCATAGATATAATGATGTTTCGACTGTACAGACTGTATATTTTATCCCCAAAACCCTTACATAAAATATTCAAATATTTAATTCTCTCTGATTTATGCGCACATTAATAAACACAACACTGACGACACCTCGTTCATAAAAAGAGCACGATGATTGGTTCAAACCATGTCTCACTCATGAATAGGGATGCTCAAAATAATCTATTAACCGTTAATTGAAAGGGTGCGTTTGTAACCGATTAATGTTATCAGTTAAACGATTAAAAATATTATTTTGTATATTTTTAGTTTGGCTGCATAATGGGCCGATTGAATGCGCTCTTTGCGTTAAGAGGGGCATCTTTTGAATGGTTTACTAAAAGTCGAAATTGTTTTGCACGCGGCAAATGATTGGGAAAAAAAAACAGCCCATGCCGGTTCTTAAAAAGGATTCAGTCAGTGTTTTCATTTTGTTCTCTAACTGAATTATTTAAGTGAAAAATAATTTAGTGCAGGACTATTTATTTTATCCATTTTATTTATTTTATTCTGTTTTTCTATGCTTTTGCAAACACTGCAGTTGAGTGAAGATGCTCTGTTGTTATGTTCTGTTATTAATATGCTAGCATGTTAAAATAAATCAGCATTTTAAAATGCAATATTTAATGTGTCAGACACAAAATAGACACATCAATTTGTTTAAAAAAAATTATAAAAAAGTAATTGTTATGTGACCAGTTAACCATTAATAACAAATTAACGAGCCGCTGTTGTCGGTTAGTGACGGAGTAATTGTAATCTTGTCTCCAATAGTGTGCAGTGAACATATATTTGTATGTTAAGGATTTGATCTTCTCTCCAATAGTGTGCAGTGAACATATATTTGTATGTTAAGGATTTGATCTTCTCTCCAATAGTGTGCAGTGAACATATATTTGGTAAAGTGTGCAGTGAATATGCAGTAAATATCTCCAATTGTGTACAAGTGTGCAAGTAAACATATATTGTTTAACATATGCAATGAACATGTTATTCTGTATAATCATATTAATATGTGTACAAATAAGTGTGAAGTGAAGGTATAACAGTAAGAGCAAGCCTAGTAGTTAGCTGAGTACATGTAAACTTTAAACCAGCACCTAAAGGGCAAACAGCCAAGAATATACCTGAGTTCAAAAGGCACACAGCCAAAAATATAGCAGGTTCACAGCACAAGACCATATCTGTGGGAAAAGTCTGCAACACTACATGTATAAAAGCAAGACAGGGACACAGAGAGGCAGAGGTTCATGAAGAGACATTTTTTTGTCTGTTAGCCTCTCGTTTTTATTGTCTGGCAATAAATCCAACTTTTGAAATCAAGACCCACTGACTCGATTGCTGATCGAAAGACAAGGGACCGAACACGACATTAGCAAAATTATCCGAAATTAGCATCCCTACTCATAAATTAATGCTGAAAACTCAAAGTCGTCACATTGACCGGCCAGAAAGACATCCAGTCTCCACGCTGGAATTTACACAATGATCTCATGGCCGTGACGTTGCTTCAAACTTGCTTTTCGAACTGGACGAATTCGCTCTAAACAATGCAAAAACAACCAATTTTCACTTTATAGTGAAATATATGTCTCCTAATAGTGTTTTTAGCAATGTGGGACACATATATGACTGTCAACATCTCAAAAAATTAGTTTTCATTTGTTTTCATTATTCTTTAAAAACGACTGGTATTGCTATACTTGTAAGGACATTTGGTATGTAAGGAATACAAGGTACACACATACACACACTTGTACTACTATCTTAACTGGGACTTGCCACAGACAATAAACATCCAGTAGAAAAAATAAACGTAAAAGAGAGATCTGTGAGGGTTGTACTCATTTACGCTAATCACTGTATGCCGTTTAATTTTTGGCTCTTTAGTTTTGTACTTTCGATATACAGTAGAAGTGCAAATGCTGTTTGATGGAGGCGGAGATTGCAGTGAATATTAGCAAAACATTCGGCCTCACGTAAAGACAGTGTTTGGGTTCCTTTATGGAGGTTGACTGCCAACTCACAACTCAAATACTGTACATTTTAATGTCTTGAGGAATTAAATGTAAAAATTTTCACAAAATGGGTAAATGAGCGGCAATGACACAGTTTTTTTTCCTGAGGTGAGCTGTTTCTTTTAATTTATGCAACTTTAAGAATCATTAAATACCTGGTGTGTGCTCAATGTAATTTATTTGGCATGCAAATTTAATGAAAAAGCTATTACTTGTCAGTGGCTTTGGCACAGTCATTATTCATGTGCTCGGTGTATAGAGCACATCTTCATATTCACAGCACAATGCTGCAACAAAAATAGACAATCAGACTTGAACATTCACATTGTGCTTATCCAATCTTTTGCAAAGAGAACAAATCGGTTTGCTTTTCAATTTTTAAAGCTATTACAGTTTTTCTCAGACGCTTTGGTGCATTTCTCACTACACTATTTACATTTGCACAACAGTTAATGCAAACTGCAAAACAATTAGTGCAAACTGCAAAACCTAGCTGATAACCTGCAAAAGTGCGTCACTTGCTCAAAATAGATAGTTCATTCCTCAAAAGCAAGTATTGATGTCAATCAAAGTGTCAGTGTCATCAAAATGAAAAGTCCGGACACCTTTGTTTATGAACAAGATAGTCAAATGGCTTAGTCATGTTTTCATTATGACACTTTACTCTGTACATTTTTTCAATGCAAAAGAAGTCAGATTTTGGTGACACTTGCTGAAAATGCTCAAGACAGCACTATATACTATTTGCACAGCCATTTGACACTACAGTAAAGTTAGACATCACTGCATTTAGTAAGGTCTCTGAGTACAAGACACTGAATATGTATGTTTCACATTTTTACTGCATTTGCTCTTTACAATTCTAATTTATTCACAGCATTCTGCAAAAGAATAAACACACCCTTATTTACAACAAACAAACTTCCTTTGGGTTGAACTGTGCACAACTGTAAACAATATTGCAGTACATATTGGAACTGAACCTACAACATACACAGGTCTGTAAATTATTCATCAAATTGTTCAATTTTTAAGACATTTTCAGGAAAATAAAGATTTACAATTTTTTTAATAAAATTTGCTTGACAGATTTTGACAACTAGTTCAACATTTTTGTATGTAATGACTCAAGTAATGAAACAAGGACTATTAGTTTTATATGGAATGACTATTCAGCATTTACAAGTTTAGTTAAATTTGTCTGACATGACATAAGCAAATGATAATGTTACAATTAGCAGAGAGTTGTATGAAAGCAAATGATGCATGTCCAAAAGCATTTGCAATGTGTTGAAAAGAATGAGAAACTGCTACTAGGATGTGCACAAATGACTAATTGTTTTGAGAAATGCATTAGCTGTTGTGCAAATGTAAATAGTGTAGTGAGAAATGCACCAAAGCGACTGAGAAAAACTGTAAGACCGTTTTAATATTCAACCCAAGCTCATTATTGATACGTACTCCTATTTACATTTTTGGAGATCGCAAAATGCGTTCCAGGAGGTACGTTTTTTTGCCAGTTGTGTTTTCGCGAATCCACTAGAGGCACTACACTTTCAGATCTCGAATTTCTCTGACGAGTGCCAGTCACAGCTGCTGTTCCCATGTAAATCCACCAGTCGACTGACTGAGATTTCAGCAGCTGTCTGGGCTTTCACTGCCTTTCCACACCTTCCTTACTTTATGTGTTCAATACTTCTGTCCTGTGTCATTTCATTTTATTTACACATAACGTAATTCATTCATTCATTCATTTTCTTTTCGGTTTAGTGCATTTTTAATCAGGGGTCGCCACAGCGGAATGAACCGCCTACTTATCCGGCATATGTTTTATGAAGCGGATGCCCTTCCTGCTGCAACCCATCTCTGGGAAACACCCATACACACTCATACACTACGGACAATTTAGCCTATCCAATTCACCTGTACCGCTTGTCTGTGGACTGTGGAGGAAACTGGAGCACCCGGAGGAAACCTATGCGAACGCAAGGAGAACATGCAAACTCCACACAGAAACGCCAAATGAGCCAGCCAAGGCTCGAACCTGTGACCTTCTTGCTGTGAGGTGACAGCACTAACTACTGCGCCATTGCGTCACCCCACATAACGTAATTTGTAAACTAATTAGATTTGTTTTCTTTGCAGATATAAATTGCTTTGATTGTTACCAACATCTGGTAAAAAACTTCAAGTCAACGGCACTTTTAAAAATGTTTTCTGAGAAAAATGGTCACAGGTTCAATACTAATTTTCCCCCGCTGTGTATACAAACAAAGTAGCTTTAATAGCACATCTAAATGCTAACATTCGAGGGTCAGTCTCAGAGCATAAGAAGCCACGCAGCAGAAAAAGGTTGTAGGGGACTTTTGCACTCACCGTTAAGCATTGCATATTGTCAGGGTTTGCGGAGATGGAGACAGCAGCATGGTTTTTCTCCAGCAGCTTCTGATCAAGACAAAACAAAATGATTAAAAAACTAATGAAAACTAATAGAATAAAATAAAAACTAGAGTTGAGTTTCTGTTGAAAGGCTGTGTTTTTGTTTCTGATGAACACTCATTCCTTCATTCATTCCACACCAGAATGAACCGCCAACTAATCCAGCATTTGTTTTTAGCAGCGGATGCCCATCTAGCTGCAACCAATCACTGGGAAACATCCATACACTCTCATTCACAAACATACACTACGGACAACTTAGCTTATCCAATTCACCTATAGCGCATGTTCCGGAGCACCCGGAGGAAACCCACACCAACCACGGGAGAACATGCAAACTCCACACAGAAATGCCAAATGACCCAACCGGGGCTCGAACTAGCAACCTTCTTGCTGTGAGGCGATTGTGCTACCCACTGCGCCATGCTGCCCTATAGTGAAAATTGCTGGGGAAAATAGTCATTTGACTTCCAAAGACATTTTTGTTTCTATATCTTTAAAAAAAACGTGTAATTTTATGTTTTTTCAGTGTTACGTATGTTTCTTGTTATTTTACATTGGCTTTTTATAATTAAAGATGACTTCACTTTCACTTAAAGTCTATTCCTGTAAATTTAAAGATTTTCCTCGTATTTCAGAAATACAGATAAAAGTCTGTCAAATGTACCATTAAAATTTATTAATTCATTCATTTTCTTTTCGACTTAGTCCCGTTATTGATCCGGGGTCGCCACAGCGGAATGAACCGCCAACTTATTTAGCATATGTTTTACGCAGCGGATGCTCTTCCAGCTGCAACCCAACCGTAAGGAACACACATACACTATCATTCACACACATACACTACGGACAATTTTTAGCTTACCTAATTCACCTGTACCACATGTCTTTGGACTGTGGGGGAAACCGGAGCATGCAGAGGAAACCCACGCGAACACGAGGAGAACATGCAAACTCCACACAGAAATGCCAACTGACCCAGCCGAGGCTCGAACCAGCGACCTTCATGCTGTGAGGCAACAGCACTATCTACTGCACCACTGTGTCGCCAAATCTGTCAAATTTAACATTAAAATTCAATCATTCATTCATTCATTTTCTTTCCGGCTTAGTCCCTTTATACATCAGTGGTTCCCACAGTGGAATGAACCGACAACTTATCCAGCATATGTTTTCCGCAGCGGATGCCCTTTCAGCCACAACCCAACACAGGGAAAAACACATACACTCTTACATTTACACACATACACTAAGGTCAGTTTAGCTCATTCAATTCCCCTATAGCGCATGTGTTTGGACTGTAGGGGAAACTGGAGCACCCGGAGGAAACTCACGCCAACACAAGAAGAACATGCAAACTCCACACAGAAATGCCAACTGGCCCAGCCAAGGCTTGATTCAGCGACCTTCCTGCTTGTTGTGTTACCCACTGCCCCACTGTACAGCCCAACATTAAAATTCAGTTTTGAAATTTTAATAATGAAATTTTTGTTTTGTATGTTTCTTGTTATTTTACATCGTCTTTTTAAATTCATGGATGACTTCACTTTCACTTTTCTTTCACTTCACTTTTTCACTTTAATTTTTTGCACTTTCACTTTCACTTCAAGTCTTTTTTTCTGTTAATTTACAGATTTTCCTCGTATTTTAAAAATACAGAAAAAAATTGCCGAATTTAACATTAAATTGTTTAAAAATAAATTTAAGGGGTTTTTTTCCAAGTTATGTATTTTCTCTGTTATTTTGCATTGGCTTCTTCCAAGTTTTCTTTCACTTTTTTGCACTTTCACCTGTACATTTTTTTACTTATTTTTTTTTTACTTTTTTTCTGTAAATTTACAAATTTTCCCATATTTAAAAAAAACAGAAAAAATGTCAGATTTAATATTAAAATTCTTTTTTTGAATGAAATTTTTTGGGTTTCCAGAGGTACATATGTTTCCAGTTATTTTATATTGTCTTTTTAAATTTATAAATGACTTAACTTTCACTCTTTTTTTCACTTCACTATTGTTATTTTCACACAATCTATTGCTGTAAATTTAAATTCAAAAAGCAAATAGTATACGTTGTCACACTTTTTTAAATATAAAATTCTCACTATTAATAAGCCAGGCGATGCGGTGGCGCAGTAGGTAGTGCTGTCGCCTCACAGCAAGAAGGTCGTTGGTTCGAGCCTTGGCTGGATCAGTTGGCATTTCTGTGTAGAGTTTGCATGTTTCCTCCCTTTTTATGGCCTAAAATGTTGCTTTGAAAATGTAAGAATTTTTAAGACCTCGCAGACACCCTGTTTAAAAACATGAAGATACACGGATCAATTAGAAAGCTTCAGATCTTCAACATGAAGACATTGTAGGATCTGTATGTTTTTCATGCTGCTTTCCTGTGTGAAACATTATCTGATTCTCACAATGCAGATATCCTGAGGGCTATGAAGCCAAAAACCTGACCCCTCACAAACACACATCTGAGCACAACTATTATACAATCTACCCACACTAAAAAATGCATTAAAAAGCAGCGTGGCCCACTTTCGCCTGAAGGATATCAACAATTTAAAAATGCCTGGATAATGTGACGATGTGACAAATCAGAGCGGAAGGGGAATGTGTGGCAGACAAACCAAGAGAAAGACAGAAGGTTATTAATGTATTAATGATTCAGCTCGTCATGTTAATCTGCTCAGGCAGTCAGAAGTCAATGACACACTGACATCATGCTGAGTCCTGTTCTCAGAGCTGAACAGAGTAAATATCAACACAAAGCAGAATCATACTGAAGAATTAGATATATGTCAGTGAATGAATTAATGAATTAATTAATGTAATAACAAACAGAGGGATGGATGGATGAGGCAATGAATGAAGCAATGAATGAATTGATGGACAGACGGATGGATGCATATACAGGTAAATGAACAAACAAATTAATTAAACATTTATTTAAGTAATTTATTTATGAAGCAATGGATGATTAAATGAATAGATGAAGGAATAAATGAATGAATTAAATGATCAATGGATGGATGGATGAATGAATGAATAAACGAATGGACAGACGAACGAACCAAATAATGAATGAATGAAGCAATGTATGGATGGATGGATGAATGTATGGATGAAGCAATGGATGGATGGATGGATGGATGGATGAAGTGATGAATGGATGGATGGATGCATTGAGTGATGGATGAATGAAGCGATGGATGTATGGATGAATGGATGCAGCAATGGATGAATGGAGCAATGGACTGATGGATGGATGGAGTGATGGATGGATGGATGGATGGATGGATGGATGGATGGATGGAGCAATGGATGAATGGAGCAATGGACTGATGGATGGATGGATGGATGGATGGATGGATGGATGGATGGATGGATGGATGGATGGATGGATGAATGGATGGATGGATGGAGCAATCAATGAAGCAATCAATGAATTGATGGACAGACAGGTAGACAGAACGGATAGACGAATGAACAAACGAGCAAATTAATTAAATATTCAATTAAGTAATTTATTTATGAAGCAATGGATGGTTCGATGAATGAATGAATAACTGAATGAATGAATGAATGAATGAATGGATGGATGGATGGATGGATGGATGGATGGATGGATGGATGGATGGATGAATGAACAGGTGGACAGACAGATGAACCAATGAATGATTGAATGAATGAATGAATGAATTAACGAACGAAAGAACGAACGAATGAATGATGGATGGATGGATGGATGGATGGGTGGATGGATAAATGAATGAATGAATAAATGAATGAATAAATGAATGAATGAATGAAGTGATGGATGGATGAATGGATGGATGGATGGATGGATGGATGGATGGATGGATGGATGGATGGATGGATGGATGGATGGATGGATGGATGAATAAATGAATAATGGATGAATGAATGAATGAATGAATGAATGAATGAATGAATGAATGAATGAATGAATGATGGGTGTGTGGTAGAAAGGGAGGGTGGACAATAGATTAAGAAATAGAATAGAATAGAATAGAATAGAATAGAATAGAATAGAATAGAATAGAATAGAATAGAACAATTAACAGAACGGAATAGACCGGTATAGAACAAAACAGAGTAGACTAGAATAGAACAAAATAGAACAGAATGAAATAGATCAGTATAGAACAGATAAAACAGTAAAGAACAGAATAGAATACAATAGAACAGTTTAGAACAAAACAAAACAGAAACGAACAGTATACAATACAATACAATACAATACAATACAATACAATACAATACAATACAATACAATACAATACAATAGAACAAAACACAACAGAAAAGGACAGTATAGAATACAATACAATACAATAGAACAAAACAAAACAGACCAGAACAGTATAGAACATAATAGAACAGAACAGAAAGACATGCTGCAGCCTTTATCAAACATACATCAAGCAATCCGAGAGACGGAGAGATCACTCACCTGATCACTGATGTTCAGACAGATGTTGAAAGTCTCAATTATTCCCTCAAACTCAACATAAACACGATAAAGCAGCACCAATCTGAATCTCTGACAGAACGCACTGGATTTGTGTGATTCTCAATGATGTCTGTGGCTTCTCTCTCTTTCTCTCTCTCTCTCTCTCTCTCTCTCTCTCTCTCTCTCTCTCTCTCCCCTCATGTAACCCATTTTAATCCTCCGCTCGCCCAGCAGACTCTCTCTGTCCCTCTCGGGTGTTTGGTCTGCTTTCATTCAATTGTTTAAAACACATCACACTGCTGTTTTCTCCAAGGTTATCATCACATTTTTGATTTTTGATTTCTGTCACGATGCATTTCTTGGACTTTTAGTTTATTGTCTATTATATTTAATTTATTATTATACTTTTATTGTTATATTTGATTATGTTATCACTTTAGTTCACTATTAACTACTGGCTTATTACCTGCTGAAAAAATGCTTCATTCAATTTACTACATTTATTTAAGGTAATTAATTTGGGCTGAACATAACTAAATTTTATTTGTTTGCATAAAATCAGCTCATGTAAATCGTTTGCAACCACTTACCTTAAAAAAATTAACAAATCCAATAAATATTTTGTTCAGTTTATAAGATATTGACTGTTTATTAGAACTACACACTTATTGTTTACCCCTAATCCTACCCAATACCTAAACTTCTACCTTAATAATTATTAACAAGCAGCAAATAAGAAGTTCACTGAGCTAAAGGTCATAGTTAATGGTTTGTAAATAGCAGGAATTACACCCTAAAGTGTGACTTTAATTATGCATGTAATTAATGTTGACGTACTGTAATGCAATTAATGTTGACATCAATGTAATTTGATGTTTACATTGTTAGAACAGCATGATAGCCATTTGCATGAGCACTATGGTGAACGAGCAGACTTTCCTGTGTTATTATGAGCGGCGCTGTGTTTTGTTATTTTTAATAGTTTGCCCTGTGGCCAAAAGCAAGAGTGTAATGTTCTCTGATGCGCAGTCGTGTGTTTTTTCTGCACTTGCACAGCTTGATCAGACAATGCTAAAACATAAATATCACTGAAATTTATTTAACTCAAATGAAAACTGATTAACAAAAACAGCAAAGATCCCTCATGAAAGAAATACTGTAAAGTTAGTTAATACTGTAGTGTTTTTGAACCATACTATGATGAAGTACTTGAACACCGCAATTTTTCTGTCTGCGCTAAACACGACGCCACAGAAACATTACAAAACCAGCCACTAACGAAATGTTATGTTAATGTAATTAATTCATATTAAACCTCTTAAACATTATTAATAGGCTTCTGGGTGACTGCTGTTCTTAGTTTGCACCGAGTTTTGACTATTCAAACCTGCTAACGTTAGTTATTTTATTTTCAACATCTGAGGTAAACTATCTGCTTCCGGTTTTAGTATTATGGCAGTAAATGTCACATAAAATGATATTTAAACTAAAATTGGGATCATTGAACACTGAATAAAGCACATAATCTGTACCTGAGGTGATCTTTGTCATTTTAGGGTCCTGTTGTTTTGCCGCGACGTCGACTAAAATATTTTGCGCGTCGCCGAACAATTCTCAACGGACTAAAGAATGTAAACATGTAACGTCGCGGTGTCGCGCGTAGCTAGGATACAGTTTAGAAGTCGGTTAACTACATTGTTGTGGCTAGATGAGACACGGTTGCGGTGGCAAGTTAAGGAGAATTATTTATATTGTTTATTTAATGGATTAATTATTGTACTTTATGTCTACCCCAACATCAACCCTATAGAAATTCCAAATGAAATTTGGTGACACTCTTCACAGATGTTAGCGCTGTTCCAGTTTAAAGTGCTCTGTTCATTCATTCATTCATTCATTCATTTTCCTTCGGCTAAGTCCCTTTAAGTGGTTTATTCTGTGTTCGCCACAGCGTAATGAACCGCCAACTATTCCAGCATATGTTTTACACAGCAGATGCCCTTCCAGCTGCAACCCATCACTGGCAAACATCCATACACACTTATTCACATAAATACACAACAGACAATTTAGCTTACCCAATTCACCAAATCACATGTCTTTGGATTTGTGCGGTAAACTGGAGCATCTAGAGGAAACCCACATAAACATGGGCAGAACATACAAACTCCACACAGAAACACCAACTAACCCAGCCGGGGCTCGAACCAGCGGCCTTCTTGCTGTTAGGCGATTGCCACAATGCTAACTAAAGTTCTTCAGGCTTCATTATTCCAAGTGTAAATTGAATAGTATTTCCAAAAGTGTTGTGCCAAATGTCAGTTTTTCCAACCTGTCTCATTCATGTTATGTCTTCCAACTTACAGTTTCTGGAACAAAATATTTCAGATACATTTGACATACCAATTGAACCAGATCCTACATTAATTATTTTTGGAGCTTCCGAGAATTTTTCAGACCGTAACACAACTGTTTGGGTTATTATGGGTTGATATCTGCAAAAAACGTACCCATTTTGGGAAAAAAAGAGAAGTTCCAACTCTTAAATTATGGCTGACAGAGTTAACGGGTACATTACATCTGGGAAAAATCAGATATACCCTAATAGACAAGGTTTTATTATTCGAAAAAAAATGTGGTCCCCTTTTATTTCCTTTTTACAAGCTTGTGATTAATATGTTTACTACTGTATGTCTTTAGTACTTACTTTTACCATTGGATAGCACTGGTGGGTGGGTGATTGGGGGAATGCATGTTTATATATTTGTTTAATGATTGTTTTTATGACTGTTAGTTGTTGTTTAGTTTTTTCATTGTTTTATGTTTCATGTTTATATTTTTAAAAAAGTGTATTAACAAGTGAATGTCTGCTAAAAATGTCTAATAATAAAAATATCTAGACCAGTCCCAACCCTAAACCCAACTATCATAGTAATGTAACAACAGTAGCTGTACCAAATATTATTTATGTTTTAATTAAATTACTCATTATTGTACTTTATGAACGTCTATCCCTATCCCAACCCTAAACCCAACCATCACAAAAATGTAAACACAGAAATTGTACAGAATATTGAACTTAAACACTAAAAACTAAACTACCCTGAACCAGTTACTATGACCATTTATGTGAAGCTGCTTTGACACAATCTACATTGTAAAAGCGCTACACAAATAAAGCTGAATTGAATTTAACTGAATATTATTTATGTTATTTAATAAATTACCCCAAAATTTTATTTTATTAACATCTACCCCTACCACAACCCTAAACCCAACAGTCACAGTAATGTAAAAATGTTAAGTATTCTTGTAGAGCGTCACAAAAATGATGCTATAATGATGTGCGTATCCTATCTGGACTTAAAAGTCTTTAATTTGTGGTAATTATATCATTACTATGGTAACACAACAACTATAGTAATGTAAACAAATGACCCAACCTTTTAGTTTCCTTCAACTAGGATATACTGCATATATATTATGCTATAAAACAGCACAGTTTAACATAGTAAAAACTAAACATTACGACTATTTATTGCAGTCAATCAATCAATAATACAGTATGCTGTAGAGTACATTTACCAAAACACTTTAAAGCATTTATTGTAAATGTCTTCAGTGTTTTTTCATTAGGGATGTTTTGATTATTACACCAAAATATTTGGGCCAAAAATAGCTATAAGAGACTGGCTGCGGAAATTCAGCGCTTTGGAAGAATAAGTGATGAATCATCAGAGTGTGACAGTTTAATGATGATAACTTCTGTTGTGTCAAAAATAGGCATTAGGCATGGAATTAAACTAATGTTATTTATAATTTAATTGTGATTCACCATTGCCATCTTTTCATTTTTAGCACTAAAATATTATGCTACAGCAATAAACCTCGTGATCGGAGCTCTTTTGTGCTAAATACATTTGATCCCTTGGACAGGGACAATAATCTTCTATAAAAGCATCTTAACAGGGACAGATATCTGCAGGCGGTGGAGGAGGAGCGGCGACAGAGGGAGAGAGAGGGAGAGAGAGAGAGGTCAGAAACATTACCATCTGAATGAATGTACAGCTGCATATATATTTTTCTCTTTTTGTATTTTTTAATAATTATATTTAAAGCTTCTACATTTTTTTCTTAATTGTGTACGTATTTATGAAATTACAAAATTATCTATTTATTATATAATCACTTTACTATTTTATTCATCGTTTATGTAATATGCAATGCTTAAATATAAGTCATAAATCAAAAATAATCATGCCAATAAAGCTCATTTTAATTTTATTAAACTAGTTTTTCCTATTTTATTTTATTTTATTTACATTTTTTATTTATTTTTATTTTTTCTTTATTTTATTTTATCAAATTAAAACAGTATCTGTATTATACTGTATAATCATTGTTTATGTAATATGCAATGCAAAACATAAGTCATAAAACAATCATGCAAATAAACCTCATTTTATTTTAATTCAACTATTTATTTCTATTTTATTTTATTTTGTTTAAATTTTTTATTTTTATAATTTTTTATTTTTTTTCTTCTTTATTTTATTTTATTTTATCAAATTAAAAAAGTATCTGTATTATACTGTGTAATCATTGTTTATGTAATATGCAATGCAAAACATAAGTCATAAAACAATCATGCAAATAAAGCTCATTTTATTTTAATTAAACTATCAATTTCTATTTTATTTTATTTTGTTTAAATTTTTTATTTTTATAAGTTTTAATTTTTTTTCTTCTTTATTTTATTTTATTTTATCAAATTAAAAAAGTATCTGTATTATATAATCATTGTTTATGTAATATGCAATGCTTAAATATGAGTCATAAGTCAAAAACAATCATGCCAATAAAGCTCATTTTAATCGAATTTAATTAATTTATTTTTGTTCTATATTTTATTTCATCAAATAAAATTTAAAAAATTGGCGACGAGAGTGGTGCAGTGGGTAGCACAATTGCCTCAAAGCAAGAAGGTCGCTGGTTCTAGCCTCAGCTGGGTCAGTTCGCGTTTCTGTGTGGAGTTTGCATGTTCTCCCCGTGTTCGCGTGGGTTTCCTTCGGGTGCTGCGGCTTCCCCCACAAGTCCAAAGACATGCTGTACAGGTGAA